ATTTAAAACTGGCATTGTCCCCTATAGCAAAATATTATTTTAATCTCGCTGAACGAAAATCTTCTTCGCATTTACAGTTGAAAATTCACCTCACGACCCAAGCAATCCTGAATTCCTGGGCCATAAACTTGTTGAAACTCTCTCGTTTCTCGCAATTTGTGTTTAGGCATGCGATCGCCGCGAATGTATACAAAAAAATAAATTAGTCGGTGGCGCCTGCCGCTAATAATAATTAAAATTGCACGCTGCTTGACGCTATTGACCGCTGGTTATCTTCTCAAAACGGTCGAGCATAAGGTCAGCGTGTCAGTTGGACGGTGAAGAAAGAAGACGTGCTTCGCCTCTTGACACGCAAATTTCTCCGCGAGTTTCATTTTAGCGTCATTAGCCACTGACCTAAAGAGTTAATGCTCATAATTGTTATTTCCTCGTTGAGCTTCTGTGCAATTATTATTTTCTAAATTAAATTTTACTAACGGAACAAATACTGTTAATTTTTTATAAATTTATCAAAAGATAATAAATTAATCAATATCTATTGACATTTTCCTAAACAATATATTATAATTAATTTTAGTATATTTTTTTAGCTGTAATTTAAGCCTTTCAAAAAAAAAAAAAAATCATGAAACCCTTTTCTTTAATTTTAATTTTGGAAATTAACTAGATTTTAAATGGAACATTTTACTATCAATTTACTACTAATTTTGGAGACAAAAATTTAGACTAACAGACCAAACTTTTTGCTTAAAAACAATCATTTATCATTTAAAAAAAGGATTAAAATGGCAGAGGATTTTTTTACAAGATTGCAGATCCATAATGATCATTAAATGACAATCTCGCGACTTTTTAATTTCTAAATTCCTCTCTCGTCCCAGCATTTGCATCAAACTTTCAAAGTCCACCATAGATCGCAGAATTAAAATGCACCGGTTCACATTAGAAAGCAGAGGTCAGTGTTGAAATCATCCGCCAGCGCATACAAAAGATGCACTTTTCCCATTTAATTTTCTCAATGATCAAAGCGAGCTGGTGTTCGTCTAGAGCAGCACACTTTCTTTCATTCACACAGAGAAGATGACCAGCAAACGGGTCGGGAAAGGAGATCGCGTTTTGCAGCAACAAGGCCGCCGCGTCCGTCTTCTTTCGCATCAGTGAAAGTCGCAAAAAATCGCACACCGAACTCGTCACGCCAAATTATTATCTCATCGTCGCGTCCGAACCGGTCGATTTAAAACCATTTTCTAATTTTGGCGCCGCGCCAAAGGCAGGAATATTTACTTTTTGTGTTCGAGCAGTTTCGCTCGGACCAACGTGCGAGAATGCGCGACATTAATAAAACAGCGGAGAGCACCGTTCTTTGTGTAGTTAGTTGAGTCTGTTAGTCCGTAGGTTATTCCGTGAGAAAAATGGCCCCGTTTAATGCGGCACTAGGATAGGCGGAGCGCGCTGATTAATTAAATTCGCAGGCGTCTGGAGGAGTTAGCGTTTGGGGCAGACGAGAGAAGAGGCGCCTTTGCTAATTGAAAATTGTGCGGCATCATGGCTTTTAGTTAGCAGCAAGGTTTACTGTAGGCATTCGTTCTCCTTGTTAATTATTTAGTGTAATTATTTTAACTGGACTAAGCAAAAAAAATTTAATTTAATTACAGAAATTATCAAAAAATTTTAATTTCTCTAAAATTAGGAGTTTTTGAAATTTGATATTAACTTTTTTTTGGAATAGTTTGAAATAGATTATTTTTTTATATATTATTAATTTTGATTATTTAATTAAAAAATTTATGTTTTATATCTTTGATTACTTTTATCATTTGGAAATAAGCGGGATTTTTTGCCAAAGACATTTATTGCATTCAAAATTTTTGTTTAAAAACAATTTCTTCAACAATGGAAAGCCCAAAGATAAATTTAATCAACTGAGCGAGGAAAAAACGAAGCCCTGGAATTTGAATTAATTTGCTAATCAACTCTATAAAAAATACTCCATGTTCTCAAAACATAAATTTATTTAAAACTCCAATATGAAAAAAAAAATCGAAATTATTATTTATTATAATTTTTATTCTTTCAAATCAGAATTCTATCCTAAGTTTGAATTGTAATTCAAACTGCTAAGTAAATTACTGGAGATTTTTTTATCCATACTTCAATGCGTTGGAGTGTGACAATAGTTTACAAGAAAGATAGAAAACTGACATTCCAATTCCATTTTATGGCCCATTTATAAGTAGGCCTTTATAAGGACGATATTATTTCAATTCATGACTGTGCTTGAAAAGAGAAGACGCTTCTTGCAAACAGAACTTTCATCTTTGCAGAGTGACTGTATGATTGCAACCTCCATTCGCTCACTCACCAAATCTCCGTGTGAATTACTCAAATTGACATGTTGTGAAAAAGCTTCAGACTTGTGATTTTTTGTTCTCATCCGCAAAACACACACAAAATGACGCTGGCGCCTCTCTCAATCGTGATGCATCAAGGAGACTTTTTTCTTTTTTTTTCGCACATTCCGGCACGCTCGGACCGTCGAGATGATTGCGAGATTTTTTCCTGCAAATAAGTCGAATAATTTCTCCTCTGCTTGCGTCAGGGGGTTACTTTGAATAATTATTTTCACCTCTTTTTTTGTGTCCCCACCGCTAAGAGAATGACGGGCGTAATTGTGTTTTGAGACCAAATTAGTATTTAATGAGCCCCACCTCGTTGCGTATTTGTATACACATGTAGTAGTTTGACTACTCGCAGGGTATTATCCACGCCTGCTCATGATTTACGACCTCTTGTTGGATGACGTCACGCTTCAGATGCTGACATAATGCAACATATTTTCGGCCTTGCACGATTTGCAAATTAGCAATAAAACGCATAGTAAACATACATACACTGTAAGCCATGTTTTGCTCCAGATTTTGGCTTTAGAAAAGTAGAGGCACGAATATGAATTTAAAGAGGAAAAGAGCACTAAAAGTTAGTTTAAAATCTTCCAGAAAAACGAAGTAAGTTCAGAATTGGGACTGAACTGAAATTCTTAAGGTAATTTCTAATGTGTCTGAAAAGTCTTAATTTTCATATTTGTCAATTTTGTAATTTCCTCGTTTTATTTATCTTGAAATAACTATTTGATTTAATCCGATTTAATCTAAATAATAATAATCAAGAGATAATGAAACGCTCACAAAAGGAAACAATCTAATTCGGTTCATATCTGAAGATTTTAATTTTGCCTAATTATTATAATTGAATTAATAATTTAATATTGAAATCAAATGATTTGAAAACTATAAAATGAATTATTTTAAACTGTGGTTGAATTATGGGTCTCAAATTAAATTTTTTTTTCATTCCCTGCTGATTACGAACAAGATGCTCTATTTTTTTTTTTTTTTTTTTATAAAGAAATGGGTTTTTTTAGTCACAGATTTCATGAAAAGGAAATAATTTTTTTTTAATCATGAGGAAATATCAACATTTACTTGGCTTGGAATGAATAGGTCTTTTGAGAGTCTCCAATACTAATTGGAAAGCGGTGCTTTATCAAAAGTCGGAACGAATCAAAGTTGACTAACAATCATTCTGAGCAAAAAATCTATCCTGCAATTACAGTCATGCCTGAGTGCAATCAAACGACTCTTCTTACAATTGCAGACGGTCTGAGTACGCTCAAGGGGTTTATTGAACTTGCAAGCGAGGGTTTATCAAAATGGAGCACTCCGTAGATTTGCCATTATCTCAAATGCACTACAATCGCGAGAGCAGCAAGGAAATTTATAAGTTCCTGATGTGCAGCTGTCAGTATTTTTCGACGGCGAACAATGCGCGATTTCTAGTTTCCCACCGATAATTACCCTTTTATTTAGTTATTTATCTAGGAGGGAAGTGGTGTATGACACTTGTGAGTTATTACGACGCACATAATCGCAAAAAGCTTCTTCGATGTGAAAGTGTCGGCGGCTGCCGTGTGATAAAAAGTAAAAAGTGCCGCCGCTAATTGATGGAAATATGCAAACTGTCTATTTTTATAAAGGTATTAATTATACGCATTAAATTAAATAAGAAAACTTCTAAAGTTAATGTTTGTAATTCATTTTAAATTGAATCTATATTTATTTAAAAATTTGTTTATATTTAATTAAATTAAAGTTTATATTTTTAGATTTTAAATATTTTATCTACCAGAGATTTGGACTATCAAGTAATATATTTTTATATCAGCAACTTTTCTGCTTTTTTATGCTAAAAAATACAATACATGGATTTTTTTTAAATATATTTTAATTTGGGTAACAGTCATCAGTGGTATTACATTGATTTATATCAAAATCCTCTGCGATGGTTTTAATTTCAAGACAATTTTTAGTTAATTAAATCAATTATTACTTCTTCGTAGAAATTAACAATGTTAGTACTACATTAATTGATCAATTATGCCGAAGCAACATTTTAATAATGTAAATTACTGAAAAATTAGTTATTTCCTCACAAGTGTTCATTTTATAATTCATTGAAGTTTATTCACTCAAAATTAATGTAAGTAAATTATTGAAAAACATTAATAGTAAATCATAGAAAAATATTTACTACTTACTAACTTTTTTCCTTATTGAAAAACTGTTCGTCAAGTTTGAGGGAAATTCATTTATAAATATTCATCCCTCGCCTAATAATTAATTGACAACTCTGCAACCCAAGTGAAGCAAGTCAATTTCGGCAAAGTTGACTCTCTCTGCTGCGTAAGTTCTCAAGCAAGCTCTCGAGTTACACAATTTGATATCATCTACTTCCATCTTAGTAATAAGGTGAATGGGTTTAATTAAAATCCAGCCTGGGGCGAAGAAATTGCTCAATTTGCACAGATCCCGAGTTTGCAAGTAGCGCACACAGAGAATAATTTAGTCAGCGCTGAATTTGGAAACGGCGCCTCATATCGTATTCACGCGGCGTGCAAAATTTGCGCCACAATTTTTATATCTTTTTCAACGTCTTGTTCGCAGATGCCGCAGAAGGCTGTGGAGGACGGACCTGCCGTCCACCAGCGTCATCATCACCTTCCACAACGAGGCGCGCTCCACTTTGCTCCGAACGGTCGTCAGGTGAGTCTGGAAATGAGATTGCCCTATTTATTGCCTTGATCGTAAACGCTCCCAGTGGAGGTCTGCAAGTGCGTGCGTTTACTCTCTGATCGCGTTTAGGGTGCTGATCGTGATTGATGTGAAAAGGAGAAAATGGTTCTTTTTACTGCAATACTTTGCAAATTTATTTCTTCCAATATATTTGATTTTTTTTTTAAATTAGGCATTTCCAATGTTCATAAATTTAATTGGAAACTATTTATATCCACACTTACAGAATTAATTTTTTATTTTCCAATTTGTTTTGATACAAATTTATATAAAATTTATAAATAATTCAATAGAAGGTTTAACTAAAGGTTTTTGCTTTCTAATAATTCCACAATAGAATAAGTTTGCAAATTTTAAGCAACGGAGAATTTTTGCTTCCGTGAATATAAATGAACATTTAAAAGATTGTATAATTTAAAAGCAAGATAACAATGAGTGCATCAATTAAAAAAAACTGTTCAAATCGAACATAAACAACATTTTTTTTTTTTTTTTTTATGGAAACTGCTTTGACCAATTTAAATTTGTCACTTTAAAGGGAAACACGCAAAACATTTATTTGCCATTAAAAAAATTTGCTGTAATTTAAAAAAAAAACTTCGTAATATTCTTCTTGAAATCTAGAAAATATTTTAAAAAATTTTGGTGATTTTTAAAATATCTGATGACAAGTCAATAATGGTTAGCTGAATATTAAAAAAAAAATAATTAAACCGAAAAATCACAAAAAGCTCACTTTTATCTGCAATCGTATCGCAGATATTTTACTTATTGTTACCAGAATGGAATAATTGTTATTATCGAAGTTATTCCTTTTCTCTTCCTCTTCTATTTCATTTTTGAACATAGTTTTAAAACTGATAAAAATAGAAATATTTTTCATTAATATACATACATTAAATTTTTAAGTGATAAAAATCTGATGAAGAGATTACTCAAAATAAAAATAAGTAACATTAAACAACGCTAACGCTGCTTGTTTGACTCTGCGAATTTACTGCCTCGTGTCCCTTAAAACTTCCTGAAAGTTCCTACAACTAATGTCAGACAAGTTCTGCTCCTGTTCGGAACTCTGGCGCAAATCTCTGCTAGCTCAAGAGCAGAACTTGACTCGTCCATACAAAGTAACAAAACACGTGTATGCATGAAACAAGGAAGAAGTGCGAAACACAATTTTCCTTTCACACCGACGCTTTGCTCTTTTATTTTTAGCCTGTTTTAATGGTGCAGAGAGCGAGCAAAGCTTTTGCCATGCATCGGTTCTTGTTTTGGCAGGCAGCAGGTGTCTGTTTTGGAGTCGCCCACGCACCCCTGCCCTCTCTCGCTTTCGTTCGACAAGGGCGCACTTTATGCTCGAGAGTGTGCGGAATGCCTGATGGTGAAAACTGTTTAGCCGGCCACGCTCATCAGCGACACGTCCGTCGCATCAAAATTAACTTTGCAACGACCGGGCACGCGGGCGACGATAATTTCATTACGCATTGCCATGGCTGCGATCAAAGAGAGACTCTCAGACCTTATTTCTTTTCTCTTTTCCTTCGCGTCAATTCATTAAATTTTTCATTTCGAACGCACGTGCTGTTTTTTTTTAGAGAATCTTCCAAGTTTGCTAATTAAATCACTCGGAATGCTCGGAATACCAGTGCATAAGCAATATCTGTTTTTTAGGTATTATTTATGGATCATAAATACACACATACTCAAAATATTAGTTGAATGTTGAATGAACAACAGAGATCTTTCTTCATTTTTTACGGATTGGTTTGAAATCTCATTACATCATAATTATTTCCCAATACAAATTTAACAGCTCGCTACAACATTTGTATAATATGGTTCACCGAAACAAATTTTTTGCTGAAATATTATTCAAAATTCAGTCACATAACAAATATTTATATAATATTTATTAGCCATTCATAATAAAATTTATGTTCTGAACGCACAAATCTAAATCTTAAATTTAGGATAGATTTATAAAATAAAAAGCTAAATCAACATAATATCGTTGTACAAAAAAATTATGTTTAAATGTTTTAATTAAATTGAAATAATATAAAATTGAGAAATATTAAAATATGTTTATTATACTTAAAAGCTGCATAATTGATGAACTGGACCTTTATGGTTGAAAATTGGCTATCTTATAAAGACATTACGGCAAACACTTTAACAGTGGGGCTCGTAAAGGGAAAAATCTGATTTTCGGTGACTAACTATAAAAATTTGAAATATAAAGAAAATAATTGCTCATTTTTAACAAAAATAGCAAATATAACTATTTAATTTCACCTAATGATTTCAAGACAGATCTTAAATTTGTGTAGAAACCCTCATCATTAGAAAATTCAATAATTATATTTCAAATTCGTTGTTGATTGTTTGGAATAAATTTTCTTTCAGTGTAAAGTTTGCAACTTGGAAATTTAAATTCACAAATTTTGTAATAAACTAAGTGTAAAGTTGATGTGGAATTGAAAATCCCCATATATGAACCAATGCAATAAAATTTTTATTTAATTTTGAAAATTTAAATAAAATTATTTGCTTACAATTGAAAAAAAAAATATGTGCAAATTCACCCTGCATTCAAACACGCTTTTTAGGAAACGAAGTGACGCTTTTTCAAAATTGAGATATGCAAAATCGTTCTGGCATCTCGACTCAAAAGTGTGCACAAACTTTTATCTCCGCGGCCGTAAAAGCAGATTCGCACATGGGCAAAAAGCCCTCTTTGCCCGTAATGGAAATCTCCTTACACACGACGGTGAGCAATTCTGGTATGTTTCTCTCGCACGCAGATTTTCCATCTCAGGATCGATTTGCATATCACGGGAGCATCGGGGCATCAAAACGAGAGAGCCCACGGCGGCGGCGGCAATATCGCGAGCAAAAGCTCTTTTCTCCAAAGCACGCACACATGCACACCCATCGCTGCTTCTTTATAGATTCATAACGCCGGGCGATAAAGATAACGAGGAAATGCGTCGACATTTGTCGCTCCAGAGACTTTTCTTCCCCGCCGGAATTTCACCAGCAGCAGGCGCAAATTACAACACATGCCGCAGATTGGTTCCGAATTTTCATCTCGCGCCCAAAGAACAAACGCAGCTGCCTTTCGCAAGTTTTCCGTCTTTGATTTCAAAAGTAGGAAAGTTTGATTGAAAGCACTTGCTGATATTCCTCTCGTCACCTGGGTTCAACTCGTCATTAAAAGGAAATTTGAGGTTCAAAAGAAAATTTTGATTGCAAATATTATGATGATATATTAAATTTGAGCGGTAATTTTTATTTTGAACATCACATTGTTTCAAAGTAAAATAATTTAATTTGATAAAATGTTTGTTTATAATAAAGGCTTTTCAAAATACTTAAAGAAATCAGGACTTGAGAGAATTTTTTTCTGAAATTTAACATTAAAACACCCTAAATTATTTTTAACATTATGGAGGCAATTTATTATGAGGCCAAAACTTAAAAACATTTTTTAGGTACGTCAGCACTTACAAACACCGTTAACAGTTTTATTTTGTGAGCTCTAGTCTAGTCATGGAAACGTATCAACGTCCCATGTGAAGTGGTAAAAAAATCAAGCTATTTTTTCCATAGCATTAAAATATAGATCAGTAATAATTTTGAAGAAAAATTCAACATTGCATGAAGGGCTTTCACCCACCCTTCACATTTTTTTCTTCAACATTTTGAAACAGGAGATTTTAATGAAAATTAAATTTCAAGAGGAAATTTTGTAACTCAAAACAGGGGATTAAAGGTGGAAAATTTTCAAAATAGGATGTTGGAGGTGAAAACAGGTTTTGTTTTTTCCTGGAATAGTTTAAATTTTAGATAATATTGGTGACTTTTCATCAATTAGGACTTAGGATATTTAAAATCCTCAAATTTAATTAAAAACTTAATTAATGGGCTTAATTAGTATATTTCCAACAAGTGGGCCAAAAAAGTGATAATTTTTCGTGTGAAGCAGTTGTGAAGAACTCTGTTATAATTCTTTTATTATTATTTATTATTGAAAAAAGCAATTTTCGTCAAAATCTTTCTACAAATCGTATTGTGATTATTTGCTTATTCCGGCTCATTCTACACAAATCAAGTCGTTGCTGTAAAAAGAAAAAAATCAATACGAAGAAAACGTCAGCTCTGTCAAACAAGTAGATAAGGCGTGGAGCCTAAAAAGAAGCTTCACACCGAGATGGGCCCCAAACCAATAATTATTATCACAAAATTTAAAAAAAAACCACTAAGCACTAAAATCTCTGCTGCCAAATTTTTGCACAAGGGAAAATTGGTGTTTCAGGTTGTGTGGCAGATCGTTTGAAGGTTTTAAGGTTTAAGGACGCGAAAGGAGAAAAATGACACATGCTCAATCAAAATCAAAGAATATTAAATATGGTCGTTCGAAAACACTTTTTTATCTAATGCTTTTAAAACAAAATGTATGTACTCACTTATCTTCACCTCACTTTCGGTGATCAATTTATACACATTCCTGTCCGTCTGCTCGCCGCCCACACGGCCTTGGAAACGGAACGTTCTTTTTTTCGCACAGCGATTGTATTGCAGCAGAAAGGTGAAAAGTACACTTAACTTTGGCTTTCCCGAGTGACAAACACCGTCGAACTACAGCAACTATGCAGTGGCCATTTCTATTCATAAGAAAAGTTTTAATGCGGCGCGCGGTGTGTTTTTAGCCACTCAACTTTTCATACGGGAGTGTCACGGCAGCTCACTTTTTGCTCCACTCGGACCGAAATGAAATTCGGACCGACTTTTCCGACTGCATATGGGAAAAAATACAGCCAGAGTTATTTTAAAAGCCGCGCCTGCTGTTGATGTGCGCGCAGCAATAAATTATTCAGACCCTCTTTCGCTTTTTCTCTCAATAAAAAAAATAAATCCCGCGCGTCCATTTGCGTACACAGTAATGGGGGTGCATGGCATGCATTCCGACC